ATCTCTCTCACCCATGTGGCACTTAGCACACACTGCTCTGGATTCTATTTAAACACTCAAGTTGCTTATATCTTGGTTTCTTGGTTGTCCAAGGAGAGCACAGGCCTCTGGAGGGCAGGAGATGTATAGAAAACAAATTTTTCTGTAACTAAAAAAAAATTTTGTTTTTAGACAGAGTCTTGCTCTGTCTTCCAGGCTGGAGTGCAATGGTGCCATTTCTGCTCACTGCAACCTCCGCCTTCTGGGTTCAAGCAATTATCCTGCCTCAGCCTCCCGAGTAGCTGGGACTACAGGTGCCTGTCACCATGCCCAGCTAATTTCTGTATCTTTAGTAGAGATGGGGTTTCATCATGTTGGTCAGGCTGGTCTTGAACTCCTGACCTCAAGTGATCCACCCATCTTGGCCTCCCAAATTTGCTGTGATTACAGGCGTGAGCCACCGCGTCTGGCAAAATTTTTAAAATACATACAGAAGTACGTAAAACGTATTATGCACAGTTCAAAGAACAATAAAACAGCCACTTAGCCACCAGTCTACTTAACAAAACCAGTGTCCTGGAAGTCCTGTACGCTACTCCTCTGATTACAGCCCCTCCTCTATCCTGGAGGCAGCCTCTCTCCTAAATTCTGGGGTAGTCACTCTCTGACTTTTTTAACAAAACAGCTGTATACCCCAAGCATGTATTCTGAAACAGTAACAGTACTGCCAAGTTTTGCCTGGTTTTGAACCTCACGTAAAGGAGCCACACTGTATGGACCCTTTGGAGACTTCTTTCTTTCACTCAACATTATTCGCGAGACTCATCCATGCCCCTGCAGCTGTAGTCCATCCTCCTCTGCAGCTGCACAGCACCTCACGGTTCGGATGCACTGCCGTTCACAGATCCCCCTGCTGCTGGTACTGGGCACATGCATTGTTTCTGTTGGTTTTGACTTTACAGTAAGGAACAGCACTGCAGGGAGCACTTGTCCCCATCTCCTGCACACCTGTGCAAGAATTCTCAAAGGCATCTGCCCATGGTTGAACTGCTGGGCCACATGCATTCCACTGCCAAATGCTTTTGCAAAGCAGAACCCATTCACACTCCTGCCAGCAGCAGGTTCGTGCCACTCCTCAATGTCACTGGCTGGTAGTGTCCAAAGCTTCACCTTCTGCCAACAGGGTGGCTGTGAAATGGTATCTCGTTATGGTTTTAATTTACATTTCCCTGGTTACTAATAAGGCTAAAGTCCTTTTTATACGTATGTGCTGTCTGTGTTTTGTAATCTTTGAAACGCCCGTTCCTATCTTTTGTCCTTTCCTTCTTTTTCTCTCAGAATTGTAAGAATTCTTTAAATAGTCTAGATACTAGCTCTCTGTATGTTTTGTGTCTCATTACAGTGTCTTTGATGAATTAAATGTGCCATTATTATTTTGAGACAAGGTCTGGCTCTACTGCCCAGGTTGACGTGCAGTGGCATGGTCACAGCTCACTGCAACCTCCGCCTTCTGGGCTCAAGCCATCCTCCCACCTCAGCATCTCAAGTAGTTGGGACTACAGACATGTACCACCGAGCCCGGTTTTTTGTTTTTTGTTTTTTTTCTTTTCTGGTAGAGATGGGGTTTTGCCATGTTGCCCAGGCTGGTCTCGAACTCGTGAGCTCAAGCCATCCACCTGCCTTGGCCTCCCAAAGTGCTGGGATTACAGGTGGGAGCCACTGCACCTGGCTGAATATCTTAATTTCGAAATAGACAAATGCATCAATCTTTCTGCTTTAGGGTTTGTACTCATTACGTTTTATTTCAGAAATCCCTCCTTAGCCTCAGGTCATGAAGAAATTTTTTTGAATTATTTTCTATAAATTTTACACTTTTGCTTTTTCAGTTTAAGTCTTTAATCCTCCTGGTGTTTTGTGATGGTGTGAGGCTGGGATCTCACACAACGTCTTTTTTTCCCTTTTGAGACAGAGTATCTCCCGTCACCCAGGGCTGTAGGCGCAGTGGGCGATCCTCCAAAGCCTCACTACAAACCTCTGCCCTTGCAAAAGTTCAAGCGATTCTTCTGGCCCAAGCCTCCCCAGTAGCTGGTACTACAAGCGGCGTGCCACCACGCCTGGCAAATTTTTGTATTTTTTTTTTTTTAAGTAGAGACGGGTTTCACCACATTGGCCAGGCTGGTCTCAAACTCCTATCCTCGCGATCTGTCCGCCTCAGCCTCCCAAAGTACTGGGATGCGCCCGGCCAGATCTCACACATCTTTATACTCCTCCTCAGCACCTGACATGCTGCTGTAAACAATTTTATTTAATAAATAGAACCAAATACTGCTTTGTGTTCAAAGCTTCAAATTTAACTCTTGAGAAAAAATCTAAGAAGCTTCTCATACTCTGTGTCAGCAGTTTGACAAAGTTAGTCATTGGTGTATCATGACTTTTTGGGATTTATTTGCCTTCACTGCCAATTTTTGGTATAGGACTAAACGCACAATGAAGCTGAGCCTAAGAGCAGCAACATGGAATCAGAAACCTGGAATCTAGTCCAAGATCCAATACTCCTCACTGTCATGTCTGTATTTGTGCAATAAGAATTAAAATATTCAGACTACCCCACTCCTAGGCGGATACCTAAGATAATTAGAAACTTTTGCTCACATAAAAACTCCTACTTGCATGTTCACAGCAGCCTACTCACAACTGCCAGAAGGCAGAAACAAACAAAATATCTATCAGTGAATAAATGAATAAGCAAAATGTGGTGTTACCCATACAAAGGAATATTATTCAGCCATAAAAAAGCATGAAGTACCGATACATACTACAACATAGATAAACTTTGAAAACGTTACGCTAAAGGACAGAAACCAAATACAAAAGGCCGTATGTTGTATGTTTCCACTTGTATGAAATGTCCAGCGTAGGCAAATCCACAGATAGAAGATAAATTAGGGCTGCTGAGGGACAGGGGGAGAAAAGGGGTATGACTGTTAATGGGGTTGGGGTTTCTTTTGTAGGTGATAAAATGTTCTGGAATTAGTTACTGGTGATGAATGTATAGCATTGTGACTATAGTAAGAACTACCTAGTTATACACTTTAAAATGGCTAAAATGATAAATTTTATGTCATGGGTATTTCATTTCAATTTTTAAAAACCTACTTAAAAAAAAAAAGTACCGCCAATTTGTTCAACTCTGTGCCCCTGCAATATTCCTGCAGTAATTAAAACCAAAAACGGCCAGGTACAGTGGCTCATGTCTGTAATCCCAGAACTTTGGGAGGCCAAGGCAGGCAGATAACCTGAGGCCACGAGTTCAAGACTACCCTGACCAACACAGTGAAACCCTGTCTCCAGTTAAAAAAAAAAAAAATTAGCTGGGTGTGGTAGCACGCGCCTGTAATCCCACCCAGCTACTCGGGAGTCTGAGGCACAAGAATCGCTTGGGCCCGGGGCGGGGGGGACGTTGGTAGCAATGAGCTGAGATCACAGGCACCACCGTACTACAGCCTGGGCGACGGAGCGAGACTGTCTCAATAAATAAATACACACACACACACATTCTGAAAGGGGCCTGCCTGGGTTGGAATCCACCTCTCCATTTAAGAGCTGTGTGTCCTGAATGAAGTTACTTTGCCTCTCTCTGCACGTTGCTCACATCACCTGTAAGAAAGGGGATAACAGTTTCTGCCTAAGAACTACAAGAGGAATAAAATGACGTGGTCCATAGAAAGCACTCAGAACAGTGCCCGTCCATGAGTGTTCAACAGACCTAAGCTATTAGCCACAATTATTGTGTTTGATATTAGCTACTGGATATCTGTGGCGGTTAGAGTAAAACTGAGAACTCGCTTTATGCAAAAGATGCTGTTAAGTGCTTTATTCCTATTGTCTCACTTTATTCTCTCATTAACCTTATAAAGCGCAGCCAGATTCTCCTGTTTATACATGGGGAAACTGAAGCTTACAGAGGTAAAGTAGCACACCCAACACCCCACAATTCAGAAAGGGCTGCTTGCAATTCAGATGGAGGTGTAGAAAGAAGCAGAGTCCTGGCCAGGGAGCCCACTGTGAGACCCCCAGACTGCCTCGCAGTCAACTGTACACATCCTGCTGGGATCACCGAGGGGCGCTGCAGCGATCTGGTTTCTGGGGCTGTTTCTGGGTGGCACGTTTTCAGAACAGGGACCTGCCTGGTTCGTCTTCCAGCCCTTCCCCTCCAGCACCCGGCAAGGCCCAGTCAACACGAGCAAACTCGGAAATCCTATCTGAACCCAGGACCGCTGCATGAGGAATCGGCGTGCCCTTTCTTTAGGAGCTCAATTCTTCTGAATTATTTCCATTTTAGAAAAACACGGCAACAACAACTCAAACCAAATCGTTTAGAAAGGAGAATAAAGAAGCACCGACAAAGGAGGCGATTGCTGGGGTCGCTCGGGGGAGGAGCCGGGTGAGAGGCTGCAGGGAGGGCAGGGCACCCGCCGGCGACAACGGGGTTCGGGGTTTGCGGGGAGAGGCCCGGGGTAAGGGAGAGTATGGGGGTGCAGCGCCGCGGCGGGGGGCGTGGGGATGAAGCCGGCGGAAGGAGGGCTCTGAGATGTGAAGGGGCGGGGCTGGGGGTGTTCGTTCTGAAGGAAGGAGTCTCATGGGACGGAGGGACGAAGATTTCCTGGGGTCAGGGGCGCCGAGGGGCTTCGGAGCCGGATGCTGCGGAGGGGGCCCGGGGCCTGGGGGGCGTGGTGAGAACTCAGAGGGGTCCGGCGAAGCAGCCGGCTGGCGCAGAGGGGGCCGAGGCGGGGTCTGGGGCGGAAGGGCCGCGAGAGGGCGCCCAGGGCGCTGGGGGCGCGGTACCTGCAGGGCGGCAAAGTCTTCCAAACCGGTCCCGCCAGACCCGCGCGGCCACCGCCCACGTCTGTGCCGCCGCAGCTGCTGCCGCTCCGCGCCCTCACGTGACTCGCGCACGCGCCGGGGGCGGAGGCGTCTCAGGGTCCCCCCGCCCGGCGTCCCCAGCGCGGCGGCCCGACCCGAGTGCGCGTGCGCGGCAGTTGCCTTGGCGACCGGGGAAGCGTTGGGCTGCAACGACTAGGGCGCGAGCCGCTGGCGAAGAAGGAAAACGGGGAGTCTCTGGCTGGGCTAGGGCCGTAGCGACGTCCACCGCGGACCGGGGCTCCCTACAGCTGCAGGGCGTTCGGTGTCGCCGAAGTAAACATGCACCCTAAACCCTCGGAGCCTGCGGCAGGTGGGGCAGCAGAGCCGGATTGCACGCAGGAGTCCGGCGTGGAGGAGTCTGCGGGTGACCACGGGAGCGCAGGCCCAGGGGGCTGCAAGGAAGGTGCCGACTGCCCCCCACGGAGGGTGGTGGGCAAGGGGCCGACACGGCTGGGTGCTCCAGTCCCCTTCCCACACCACATACCCGATCTTCACAGCCGAATAACAACAACAATAGTAACGGTAGCAGCTAACGCTCTGCAGTAGGGGCTTCTCTCCCCATTTCGTACAGAGGAGGAAATACTTAAGATACTTAAGGGGTTATAAAACTTTCTCCAAACAGATAACCCTCGGCTAGTCAGTGACAGAATAGACTCGGCCGGGCGCGGTGGCTCACGCCTGTAATTCCAGTACTTTGGGAGGCCGAGGCTGGCGGATCATCAGGTCAGTCAGGAGTTCGAGACCAGCCTGGCCAACATTGTGAAACCCTGTCTCTACTAAAAATACAAAAAATGAGCTGGGCGTGGTGGCGGGCGCCTGTAGTCTCAGCTACTTGGGAGGCTGAGGCAGGAGAATCGCTTGAACCCAGGCGGCGGAGGTTGCAGTGAGCCAAGTGGGACGCTGAGGTTGCAGTGAACCAAGATCACACCACTGCACTTCAGTTTGTGGGCAACAGAGCAAGACTCCGTCTCAAAAAAAAAAAAAAAAAAAAAGAAGAAAGGAAGGAAGGCCGGCTTCAGCTTCTGATCCCACTAGACTAGACTTGGTGCCCTAAGGGAAACCTTTCAGTGATTAGATTAAAAAGCCACTTGATTTGTGTTCCAGTTTCTGAACCCAGGCAACAAATAAACCAGCTGATTTGTGTTCCAGGCAACAAATGTATCTTAAGCATCAACTGTCCAGATGAACCTTGTATGAGGAGCCATAGGGAACTGGCATTGCTCAGTGGAAAGGCACTGACCTTGGAGCCATTGACACTGGGTTCAGGTTGAGGCTTAGCAGTTGGTCAGTTTTATGGCCGTTGGCCCAGAGCTTAACCTCTCGGAGCCTTAGTCTCCTCATCTGTAAGCTGGGATAATTATACAGGAGTATATGGAGAGAATTACAATTAAATACTCCAGCATATAGTGGGCCATTATTAAATGGTAGCTCTTGTTATTAATTACATATTAATATTTATATATCGAGCGCTTATTCTTTATTTTTTCCGCAAACATTTATCTGTTGCTTCCTGTGGCTGGGCATTCTATGCAAAATTGATGAGTTTAAGAATCAGTCCCCCCACACACAGCCTTTAGTCTTGTAAAATAGACCACACAAACACAGAAAGCAGTAGACAACCGCTCTTAAAGTTAAGTGCAGTTGAATTGGCCAATTTTGAATGACCTTTAAAAAAATTATTCATTTGAATGTGCTTATGTTATTTTTATCAAAGATATTCTCACTATTTTTGTTTCTTTTCATGTGATTTTCCTTTTGAAAATTTTTTTTAAGAGATAGAATCTCACTGTGTTACCCAGGCTAGATCTTCCTGCCTCAGCCTCCTGAGTAGCTGGGACTACAGGCATGCTCCACTACACCTGGCTTGAGAAATTTTTTAAAAGGCAAAAGAACAAAGAACATTAAAACAAATACCCATGTTTTGCCAGCAAGAACTGAAAATGATTAACATTTTATCATATTTACTTGAAGTCTTTTTTAATTAAAGAAATAAGTTCCCCCCAAACAAAAAATAAATAAAAATAAATAAGGCCGGGCAGGTGGCTCACGCCTGTAATCCCAGCACTTTGGAAGGCCAAGGCAGGCGGATCACCTGAGGTCAGGAGTTTGAGACCAGCCTGGCCAACATGGTGAAACCCTGTCTCTACTAAAAATACAAAAAAATTAGCTGGGCATGGTGGTAGGCGTCTGTAATCCCAGCTACTTGGGAGGCTGAGGCATGAGAATTGCTTGAACCTGGCAGGCGGAGGCTGCAGTGAGCTGAGATCCCAGCACTGTACTCCAACCTGGGGGATAGACCAAGACTATCTCAAAAAAAAAAAAAAAAAAAAGAAAGAAAACATTTCACATAAAGTTGGTGTTCCTTTTGTCCCCTGTCCCCCACCTGATTTCTAATCCCATTCCTTTCCTCCCTTGTCCAGAATTTTATATGGATTCTTGCAAGCACTTCTCTATACATATATGCCCTGAAACAATGCGTAGCATTGGTTTGCATATTTTTACTTTATATATGGTATCCTGTGCTTATTGTGAAACTTGCTTTTTTCACTCCATATACGTTTCTGAGAATTATCCCTATGGATAGATGCAGTTCTAGTGCATTCTTCTCAAAGGTAGAAAAGCAAGTCATTGTTTTTTGTAACCAGTCCCTATGGATGGACATTTACATTGTTAACAGTTTTTGGCTTTTATAAAAAATGCAGAAACAAATCTCTTTGTCCATGTTTTCTTGTGCACCTGTACAAAAGTTTTTATAGAGGACTACCTAGAAGTGAAATTTACATAGTCTTTGCCAGTGCTTTAAAAATTGTTATACCTTTAGGCCGGGCATGGTGGCTCACGCTCGTAATCCCAGCACTTTGGGAGGCCAAGGTGGGTGGATCATGAAGTCAGGAGATTGAGACCATTCCGGCTAACACAGTGAAACCCCATCTCTACTAAAAATACAAAAAAAAAAAAAATTAGCTGGGCATGGTGGTGAGCACCTGTAGTCCAAGCTATTCAGGAGGCTGAGGCAGGAGAATGGCGTGAACCCGGGAGGCGGAGCTTGCAGTGAGCTGAGATGGCACCACTGCACTCCAGCCTGGGTGACAGAGCGAGACTCAGTCTCAAAAAAAAAAAAAAAAAAAAAAAAAAACCAATTGTTATGCATTTAAAGATTACTAGTGTTCTTTTTTTTTTTTTCTGGAGAGACAGGGTCTCATTTTGTTGCCCAGGCTGGAGTGCAATGCTGTGAACACAGCTCACTGTAGCCTCAACTTCCCAAGCTTGAGTGATCAACCTGCTTCAGCCCCACAAGTGGCTGGGACTACAGGCACGCACCACTACATCTGGCTAATTTTTGTATTTTTTGTAGAGATGAGGTTTGCCATGTTGCTCAGGCTGGTCTCAAATAACTGGGCTCAAACAATCGACCTGCCTCAACCTCCCAAACGGCTGGGATTACAGGCATAAGCCACCATACCCAGCCGCTAAAGGATACTGGTGTTCTATAGTAAAAGTGGATGGTCATTAACCAAGCTGAAGTTGGGGGATATTTTTTGGTATATATCTTGATCTCTACAGACCTGATCTCTTTTATTTTACAGAAATTAATGATCCTAAGGAAGTATGTGTGGGTTCTTCTGCCACATCCTACCAAAGCCAGCAGAAACAGAGTGGTGATAATGGGTCAGGTGGTCACTTTGCACACCCAAGAGAAGACAGAGAAGATCGGGGCCCCAGGTATGTGGGCAGGCTGCCATGTAGTGCACATTTACGGAGTAAGGTGGATGATGTAATCACTCCCTTGTACAGATAAGGAAATAGAGGCTGGTAGAGATTGAATTGCCTGCCTGGTGTCTGAGAATGGAGTGAAGATGGCACTGCCTCTGCCGCACAGCTGAGTGCATATTCTATTCAACTTTAATGCCAGACCTGCAGAGAGGAACAGCAGTAGTTCCTGATGACACCATTTAAAGTATTTTTTATTAGAACATACATTGCAATTTTTAGGCTGGGCACAGTGGCTCACGCCTGTAATCCCAGCACTTTGGGAGGCTGAGGCAGGCGAATCACGAGGTCAGGAGTTTGAGACTGGCTTGGACAATATGGTGACACCCCGTCTCTACTAAAAATACAAAATATTAGCTGGGCATAGTGGCGGGCGCCTGTAATCCCAGCTACTCGGGAGGCTGAGGCAGGAAGATCGCTTGAACCCAGGAGGTGAAGATTGCAGTGAGCCAAGATCGTACCACTGTACTCCAGCCTGGATGACAGAGTAAGACTCCATCTCAAATAAAAAAAAAGAGCATACATTGCAATTTTTAAGAATGCTGAAAATAGGCCAAGCACAGTGGCTCATGCCTGTAATCCCAGTACTTTGGGTGGCCGAGGTAGGTGGATCACCTGAGGTCTGGAGTTCAAGACCAGCCTGACCAACATGGTGAAACCCCGTCTCTACTAAAAATACAAAAATTAGCCGGGCATGGTGGTGCATGCCTGTAATCCCAGCTACTTGGGAGGCTGAGGCAGGAGAATCGCTTGAACCCAGGCGGTGGAGGTTGCAGTGAACTGAGATTGTGCCATTGCACTCCGGCCTGGCGATAAAGTGAGACTCCGTCACAAAAAAGAAAAAATGCTGAAAATAATACTGAATGAGGGCCTAAAATCTATATAAAAAAGAAGAAGAAAAAGAAAAGGAGAAAGAGAAAAAGAAGAACTTAAAATAGGTATCAGGCATATAGGATGTTATAGAATTTTGGGCAGGAATGGATGTGGTAAAGAACTGTGAGAATATATTTTACAGCTGACAATTTGCAGTAAGCTTATTCATATTTCACATTTTAACAGAATGACTAAAAGTTCCCTGCAAAAACTCTGCAAGCAGCACAAGCTTTATACTACCCCAGCACTGAATGATACGCTGTATTTACACTTTAAAGGTAAGGACCTAAGAGAGGAAGTGTTTCATGTCGGGTGGAAGGATTCTGTCTAGCGGTATAAAAAATTACTTGCAGGGATCATCTTTAGTTCTCAGAATGTATCTAAGCAGCAAATTTCAGAGTTTAGTGGAGATTTATGGAAAAGGAATAACTTTTATTTCAATAAAAAGTCTTGCCTGACCAGAGTTTACAAAGGAGCCACTAGGAATACCAAGGAAACACATTATCTTTTATTGTTGTTTCCTAAGGAATTTCTTTTCTTTTTTCTTTTCTTTTCTTTTTTTTTTTTTTCAGATGGTGTCTTGCTCTGTTGCCCAAGCTAAAGTGCAGTGGCACAATCTCTGCTCACTGCAGCCTCTGCCTCCAGGTTCAAGCAATTCTCCTACCTCAGCCTCCTGAGTAGCTGGGTTGCAGGTACCCGCCACCACACCTTGCTAATTTTTGTATTTTTAGTAGAGGCGGGGTTTCACCATGTTGCCCATTCTGGTCTCAAACTCCTGAGCTCAGGCAATCCACCTGCCTCAGCCTCCCAAAGTGCTGGGATTACAAGTGTGAGCCACTGTACCCAGCTAGGACTTTAATTTTTCATACCAGAAAGTTAGTTTGAAAGTACTTTGGGCTTGGGAGGTATATGTTGGGAAGGATTGCAGCTTGATGTTGGAAACAAATAATGAGGATCTTTGGGTGCCTCTTAGAATGGAGAGGCATGAGCAGGAGCCTGGGTTGGAGTCCAGTACCACATATAAATGGAAGCTCAGGTTCACAGACAGGGCTTTTCCCAGCCTGAGGGCTCCCAGCCTGTGCTGATGGCGTGACCAACTTGCTCATCAGTCCTCTCATTGTTCATTTGTTTCTTCGGTAGCTGCTTGCCGAGAGTCTACCGTGTGCCCAGCACTGCTCAGCACTGAAAATGCACAGAGGGAACCGGCAAATGTGTCTTTGGTGTCCTGGGGCATGGGAGCAGCTATTATGAGGATGGTGCCCTGGCAGGGAGACGCCCAAAGGGATCCAGGAGCACAAATGCCTCAAGGGATCAGAACAACTCCTATGGGTCTCCTCACCTCCACTTTTGCCCACTCCAAAATTCCCCATCCAGCATCCAAGTGTAGCAGTGAGTAAGATGATATAGGAGGACAGACCCCCGGGGGACTGATACTTAAGAGGCGGGAAGGAAAAAGGAACCAGTAAGTTTGACTAAGTAGAGACAGTCAGAGAGGTAGAAGAGCTAGGAGAGAGAGGTGCCCATATTAGTTATCTATTGCTACATAATTAACTACCCCGAAACTTAGCAACTTCAACTTATGATCTCACCCAGTTTCTGAGGGCTGGGAACTCGGGAGTCATGAGCTGGGTGGTTCTGGCTCAGGGTCTCTCATGAGGCTATAGTCAGACTGTCAGCGCAGCCTCACTCATTTGATGGCTTGAGTGGGGCTGGAGAATCCGCTTCCAGGCTCTAGGCCTCACCCTCATAGCTGTCAGCCAGAGGCCTTAATTTCTCACCACATGAGCCTCCCCATGGGAGCTGGCTTCCCTTAGAGCAAGTTACCCAAGAAAGGAAGCAAGGCCAAGACAAAAGTGGAAGTGACACTTCATCACTCCCTTGTATGCTGTTGGTGTCAGGATCCACTCCTGTCTTACTGCATTGCTAACATGAAGGCATCGATACTAGGAGGGTGATCCAGAGAGCCTGAGGAGGAAGCTGGGAAAGGGGTGCAGGGCCCATGGGCCAGATGCCTTGGAATGGTCAAGGGCTAAGAGGACTGCCAATAGCATGTAGCAATTAGGATCTTAGGGAGACTTTAGCCAGGTGGTTGCAGTGATGGGGGGATCCAGTGGGTAGCAGCAAGTTGGAGATGGCTTGAACAGCAAAGGGGGAGGAGATGGGTTGAGAGCTAGAGCAAGGACCAGGGAGAAAAACCAGAATGTCAGAAACCAAGGGGACAAATAATCCAGTTTCTTCAACAAAAAACTGCAATGGAAGAAAGAGAGAGACACACACACACCTCTAGGTTAAAAGTGATGTAAGGCCAGGCGTGGTGGCTCTTGCCTGTGATTTTCAGCAATGTGGAGGCCGAGGCAGGCGAATCAGGAGTTTTGAGACCATCTGGCCAGCATGGTAAAACCCTGTGTCTGCTAAAATACAAAAAAAAGAAAAAAAAAATAGACGGGTTGTGGTGCGTGCCTGTAATCCTAGTTACTTGGGAGACGACTCGAGGAGAGGCGGGCTTCCAGTGAGCTAAGTTGTGCCACTGCATTCCAGCCCTAGGTGCAACAGAGCA